GGGGGCACGGGTCTGAATGTGGGAACGTGCTCTGTCCAGCCGAGCCAGGCTCTGCGTGCTCTGCACGCTTAGGGTGTCCACGAACATTGGACAGTTGGTCCCAGCCCAAACGCAGTGCTCTCCCTTTCTGGCTGCCTCGGCCATGCTCCTGTACCAAAGCACTGCGGCCACAGTGGGAGTGTTTCTCTGTTGCTGTGTCTCTGGGTCCCAGCCCTGAGTTCGCCCTGGTGTGTGCATTCCTGTAGTGCCCGGCAGAATGGAGGCCCTGGAGGAGAAGGAGGAAGTGGAGCAACCACCAGAAGATGTGATCTCTTTGCGTATCAGTGATTTCCTCGATGAGTTGGAGCTAGATGCAGAGCAAGCCTCTGTCAGAAGCAATGAAACGTAAGTCTCTGCCCATGGCTGGGATGAGCAGAGATGGTCCCTTTGGGCCCCACAGGGTAATTGCACACGTGTGGATGGCACATGTGTCCCTTTGCATGGTGATGGGAGTGAGGAAGTTTTTTGTGCCTGATGAGTTTGTCCAAGAGTGTGGGTGTGCAAGTAAGACAAGGTAACTCATTTGTTTGTACATCCATTCACCACTGTATAAAGATCCCCCAAGACTCTGGGTATACGTCAGTTTGCCATTGCTCCAGAGATGTTTGGCTATGTCAAAATCATATCCTTGGATCTGGTGCCCATTTTGTACCTGTGAAACAGGGAAGCCCTGCCATGTTTTGATATCAGGTCATCCTGCCTGTATTGCTCCTGGCTTATTTGTTACTTGTGTCTCTCTGCTTCCCCCTTCTACATAAGTGAATTTGACTGGAGCTCCATTGACACATCCAACTTACCATCTTCGTACAAGACCAATTCCCGGCAGGAGAAGAAGCTGCTGCAGCTGGCTGACCATTTCTTGCAGCAGTACTCTCACCTGTGCCCTGACCGCAAGCCGCTCTTCATCCACCCGCTCAACGAGTGTGGAGTGCAGGTATGGGGTGCATGGGGCTGGGCACAGCACAGGGAACACTTGGATTCACTGTGCCAAATGCTGTGGAAGAGCAGCAGCCCCTCCTGGCTAAAGGGAATGGGAACCCGCTGGATGAACCCACAGCACCTGAGCGGGCACACAGAGCCCCAGGAGCACCATGGCTGTCCAAATCCATGAGCCATATAAATGTTGGTGTTGCCATGTGGGCTGCAGAGTGATGCTTAGGAAACAGGAGAGACCACAGAAACATAAAGGGAAGGAAAAGAAACACATGAACTAGATAAGGCTCAGGCTCAAACACAGATAGGGATCCAGAGTTAGGACTTACTCTGAACTTCCCCAAAGTTACAGGGAAGGAGTAAATGTGGAAGTTTTTGGTCTGGTTTTGTTTTCTCTGGGCCCATGCTGCCCAACTGTTGTCTAGTTCTGGACCTAATTTTTGCCCCCTGCCCTCTGGGCATCTGGAATTGCTACTTTGTACCAGCTTTCCCCAAAATTTGTTGTACCATTAACATGCAAGGCAAAAAAAAAAAATTGCTGGAGGATGTAAAAGCCAGAAAAGGCAGTAGCTGTTTGACTTGAAAATGAAGAGAAGAACTGGATCACATCTGGAATGTGTCTGAGATGAGGTTGAAGTTTCAGCCAGAGGCAAGCAGACAGCCTCCCAGCCCCATGAAATTTCCATCCTGTAACTGGAGAGAAGGGATATTGCAGCTGTTGATATGCTGTAGAAATATCCTGAATTTGATCTGCAACATCCAGGGGTGGTTTGAGGATGGCTTTGGAGAAGACACTCTGCCAAGGGCCTCTTG